GGCATCTTCGAATCTACCTTCTTGCATAGGGGCTTGGATATGCTTGAACATCTCCTCATACTCAAGCTCTTGTGGCGACTTCTCTTCGACAACAGGAGGGGCTGCAAGTGCTGAGGAAACAGAAGGTCTGCTGGAGTTGTGACCTATGACAGGGCTAGCACGGTGAGATGAACCCTGTCTATCTCTCTGTTGAACACGCAAGAATTGAGCTTGGAAGTCAGATTGTGCAGCAGCCATGGATGAAATGGTCTCGGTCAAGCCGTGGACAAGTTGAGTCAATTGCTCGATCTTAAGGCTGTCGGCATGTCGTTGACGTTCAATGTTACCGATTTGTTCTTGTGCTTGGCGGTGAACATCAGCTGCGACACGCTGAGAGGTGTTGACTGCCAATTGGGTAAAAGCAGGAGTGATGCTGTTGTTCAAGAGAGTAGCAAATTGCTCTTCGAAAGAGAAAGAGACACTCTTTGCCAAAGTTTCCGACATCAGCTTTAAAAGTTGAGGTTGTTGCATAACTTTGTTGACAGCATCTGGAAGGACCTTTTGCAATTCTTTTGGTAAGCTTTGATTCAAGTGACTGACAATAGCTGGAGCAACTCGTTGATCGACGGCCTTCAAAGTGATGTTTTCGATGGCAGGAACAACAGAATTTTCCAAAGCTCCGTTGACAATACGCTTCAATGATTCTTCCATATTACCAGTAAGAGTGCTAGAGACAAGGCGAAGGACAGCATCCTGCTTGGCATCAGCGACGGCGGTTTGGGTGCGTCTGTCATCCTTGATTCTTTGATCCAAAGTGTTGAAAGAATCATTGAGTAATTTCTTCACCTCTCCAGAAACACGACCTTCAATCTCCTTGAGAACTTCATCCGTCAAGCCAGGTGCTGACAAGCTTGAAGAGCTACCAACGTCTGGAATAGTATTCATATTTGCGCGAGAAGTACTGTTGTTTCTTGATGCTAAATTATTCTCTGTTGCGACGTTTCTGGTTTGAGAGGAATTCGATAAAGATTCGGAATTTGAGTTGGCCTTTCGTCGCTTCTTCTTTTCGGATTTATTGTCAGTTCCGCTAGCGCCGGCTAGACTGCCGTTGGCAAGTGCGACCGGAGCTTCCTTTTTGTCAGCCTTCTCTTCAGCCTTGGGCACTGAAGAAGATGGCTCGGTCTGTGGAGCCTTATTTGTTTCCTTAGGAGAGCTATCCTTGGTAGCTGGGCGTTGAATAATCCTAGTAGGAGTAGGGACTGGCGCAGGTGAAGGCTCTGGTGCTGTTTCACCCGACTCAGATGCAACTGGTACGGTGCTGATTTCCTTCAATGTATCGATAGTAACAGCTCCGACTCTATCAGCCACAACTGCAGAGATGCACTTATTGTTGACGTCCCAGCCTAGATCGGCTTGCTTGATGGTGAGGCAAGTTACACCCTTCGAGTGCATAGCATACAACTCAAAAAGAGTAATCGGTTCTCCACGAGCAGGTGGGGAAGCAGGGTTCTGTAAGATGTCCAAGCTTCTAAGATTACCTTTGCTGGCGAATGAATATTCTCTCATACCACTGACAACAGCAGTAGAATCTGGCTTAGAAACACTGGAGTCATTGGCTGCAAGCTTCTCAACATATTCAGCTTGGGTAACAGTGCGTGGAAGGTTGTACTTAGGAGCAGAGAGGTGGAGGAAATAGATCGAATTTCGTGTAGGATGTCCGACCACAATGACACCAGTTGCAGGGTGGTACAAGACGCTACAAACGGCATCCGATTCCTTGCTGTGAGGCAAGTGGATTTCCTGAACAGGCTTACCCAAAGCAAGATCCCACAATTGTAAAGTATGATTTTGCTTCATACCCACAATCATGTAGCGCAATGGACCACCCTTCTGATAAGGGCGAAGCTTATCAACAAACAAGACCGAAGTAGGCCACGATTTTTCAGTTGCAGGAGTTGTGATGAGAGTCGTAAGAGGCTCTTTGATCTCAACAGGAGGGGCCTTTTGATGAAGCTCATCCTCTGGGATCTGAGTAAGGGGACGAACATCCCAGAACTTGACTCGTCCAGCTTTGTCCAGTGAAACGATAGTTGTATCATCCTCACTAAATGTGAAGTCTTTGCCTGCCTTGCCGGTGTTGACCTTGAGAGAACGGTGGGCGAGGTAGCGATCTGTATCAACGATGCGCTCTTTTCCATTTTTCAGGAAGGAGTTCTTCATGATAACAGATGGATAGATGATTTGAATGGACTTTCCGCGTCCGACGGCGAAAAATTCAGGATGATTTGAGCTCTTTCTAGCTCTGGTCTTGAGTACACCACCAGCTGACTCATTGTCTGGAGTTTGAATAGGAGGAAGAGCAAAGCCATGCATTTCAGGATGGTTTTCCTCAATGAAATCTCCCTCGCCGTCTTTAACAATAGCCCAGTAAACAGTGCCACTAATACCAGTACCGATAATAGTTTCTTTGAGATCCGCTGGAGCACTAGATGTCGAAACATTGAAGATACGATCGTGTGTCTCTGTGAAAAGTCGAGAATCCTTGCCATCAGCCTGTCTAATGATACGAATGCCACCATTCTTTGACATGCCATAAACAATAAAGTTTGAGGAGGCAGTAACTAGAGTGCGATCGATTTGATCAAACTCTTTCTTAAGGCGAGCGATATCCATGATGATTTCGTCACGGAAACTAGGACGACCTTCTTCACTATTTTTGATAGTGATTGAGGTCCATGGTTTCATAGGGAAATTGAATACCTTGACGACAGTTTCATCATAATTGTGTGGAGCATCCTCGGCAGCATCTGCACTCTCCCAGCTGTCTGCAATGTGGCCATTCGCAGCGTCGTCAATGATTTCTTTGACTTCATTGGCAATCGGAGTAGGCAAATCATCGAGAACAGTGGCGTCCTTGTCAAGCACCTTCTTGATAGCTGTAGCAGCGACCTGTGCACGATCCTCAAACTGTGTCTCGGTTTCAGCAGCAAGCATGCTCCGCAAGTCCTTCTCAATTTCAGCCGTAGTTGCCTCCTTTTCGGCACGAGCTAAAGCTTCTTGAACTTGGTTATCGACTACATCACCGACTTCCCCAAGAGCATGGCTAACAGTTTCCTTGCCTTTACCATTGGAAGCTGAAGCTGGGCTTGGGGCACCGATTCCAATCAAAGCCTCCAATTGAGTACGCCCATCGGGAAGTGGTGTAGGTGGCCCAGAGGATGCAGCAGGAGATCCAAGCTTACGCTTTGAGAAAACCTGGCCAGGACTATCATTGTTGCTTCTCTCGTCCATCTTGCGCTTGTTGTCAGTTGAATCTTGTCGTTTCAAGATCTGGAAAGCGGGTGCAGGAATGTTTGAACTTGATGGACCACCTGTGGTTGCCTTCGGAGTGCGATTGCGTGGAGACGAAGCTGCCAATTCCTCGAAAGGATTAACATAGGTGAACAATCCCTGGTTGTTTCTTGGCTGAGGAGTGAAATTTTCCTTGCTGAGAGGTCTATCAATCTTGCCCTCGAAAGCAGAAGATCCCATCATACTCATGTCCATGTCAATCTTCGTATCTTCCAGAGTTTGTGCCAAGTCACCAACGTCGTCCAAAGAGCTATTTGCTTTACTTTGAGGCGAAAATACCTTCTCGGCGTTTAAATGTGGCGATTCATTGCTAGTTTGAGGTGGCTTTGGTTGATTGAGAAGACGAAGGAGATAAGCTTGTGTATCGGCAGGTGGAGAAGTCGCAGCTGCAAAGCTGGAGCTCGACTGGGGTTGGGAAGCATTGGCAAATTGCGGACTTGTTTGAGTCATTTGCGGGGTAGAAACTGGCTTTTGTTGTGCTCCTCCCATAAGTGCAGCGAGAAGATCTTGACCACCACGATTACCGGCGCTGACTTGACCAAGAACATCGGAGTTTCCACCGAAGCTCATGGACGACTCGCGAGATGGAGGAAGTGGTGTGCCGATCGGAGCTGCTTGATTGTTTGACTTGCTAGCAGAAGGTTGGCTGAACTTCAACAGATTAAGTAAACTGGAAGTACGATTATCGTTGGTTGAAGCACCAACTGGGTTGGCAAAGCGAGGTTCGGCATGTGGAGTATCAATGGGACTCATGATAGAAGAATTATGATGAGGTTGTTGACCATGTACAGGAGGGGTAGGAAGTGGCGAGGAAACAGAAGGTTGTTGATAATGAGGAGGCAATTGTTGATTTTGACCAAAGAAGCCGCTGTTATTGTTATTATTGTTGTTGTAATAATTATAACTTGGCTCTAAATGAACAGGAGCAGCCTGCTGCTGCGGTTGCTGCGATTGATTTTGCTGTTGTCGAAGCTGAGCAAATAGAGAATCCAAACCACGGCCATCATTACCACCAGAACCTGTCGGATATCCAGACATTTTGAAAAAAATAACGCGCGCTCAAGGCGTAATATTTTGAATGAAAATTAAATTGAATCGATCAATATCGAGAAGAAAGGTTTGAGTATGTAACGAAAGGATTTGTTGAAGAAACAAAGATGGAAAAAGAAGATAGCCGATAACTTTTTTTCAGCGATCGACAACAGCTCTAAGCTTGTAAATAGATACAAGGCAGAAACTGTCCTCAATAACAAAGGTATTGACAGCTTCGAGTTTGAAGAACCAAATGAAGGATTTTGTGATGTAAGTTATGGAAGAGATTTTGAGTTGAAGATGTGAGGTTGAGGGTATGGGTAAAGGTAAAGGTAAAGGTAAAAGGTAAGGGTGGAGGTAGAGAGGTAGGTATGTAAATTTTGTTTGATAAAGGTGAAGAAGGATCCGATCAGATGTGAGGCGAATATGTGAAGTAAAGGTAAAGAGCGCGTAAAGTAGGTAACCTTGGAAATAATTGATGGTAAAAGCTTGGACTAGTTTCTGGCTCATTCTGTCTCTAAAGTTGTGATTCCAGTAATATAATTGGATGATAGACGCTCACATATGAAGGATCAGTCGCTTATCTAAACCGACCAATTGTTAATCCATCTTATTTTATCGCGCGGAGAGATCTACTCGGATACCGTCATAAATACAGATTCTCAAATACGGAACAAATTTAAACGTTATTATTTTAGATATATTATTACAGTCATACCATCGAGTACTACCAGAGGATCTCCCTTTTCACATCGCACAATACACCAACGGGAGAGGACCCCATCCTTCCCCCTGTCGATCGCACTAAGTACTTGGTACATACTGTGATTCTTTATCACATTCTGTTTGCATATTCCAAGGGCCATTGCATGCTCTCAACGGATGATCGCATAATTCCACACAATCACGACCCTTGGTCCCAGTTGTTTGAAATCTCACTGTGAATCTAAAGTCCTGTTAAAATGTTTTGTCTTCGAAGGTACGCCATGAACTCATACAATCCATCTGGGGCGAGCCTAAATCAACACATTCAATATCAATAGATGATTGAATGCCTATTTTATTACCACAACTAATAACTCTCTCAAAATAGTTGGCTTCCACTCCTCTTCATTCCTACGAATGCATCTCCAATCTTCATCTTCCTCTTCTTCATCTGCACCTACTTTCTCAATCGCCCCTGCGTTTACTGTTCAATTCTCCTACTCATCCTCTTCGCCTCCTCCTGTCACTGGGCCGATCACTGTTTCTTCGACTTTAGTAGTAACTGGTTCTTACCTCGTTCCTCATCCTATTCTTCCGCAGAGATAAACAATCAAACAGCCCTCTCGAACGAAACTATAGACAATGTTTTAATGTATGCCGGAGCTTTCAATAAGACCGCAATAGCATTAGCAGGCACAGCATTAGAAGATGCGAAGAGAAATCTGGCCAGCAGAGAATGGACGGGTATTGGAGTCGAATGGTTGAGAAATTTACTGGGGAAGAGAGAGTGGAGGTTGGAGTGTGTGGATGTGTATATCAGGCTCTGATGTCTCCAACTTCTTCACTGAAATATAAAGGGAGAGGATGGTAACATCATGTTCGGAGGTATAATGGAAACTAGACTGTTTATATTTACAATACTTTGAGGAGTCGTGGGAAAGAAACATAGCGGTATTATCATGGGAAAGAAAGCTCATGTGGGTCTGCCATGAGGATGGCACTGGTCCGGTTTACATTTTGGGATTCGGATTATTTGGCATAGGTCATCGGAGCGAGGTGTTGGTAACTTGTATACTTATATAAGATTCAGTGGGCGTCTTGTACAAGCGTATTTTGATATTGCAAATTATTTCGACAAGTCACATAACACTACCACGTCAATTTCTCGATACTGTCCACATGTGTATTCATTAACAATATCCCTTTCCCACTCCTCATTTCTTCCTTTACTAGATACCTATCGACTGAACTTCCATTCTTCATTCTTAGGCTTCAAACCTCAAGCACTGCATGTAGAAACATTACCATCTACCGTCCATTGCTCAAAATTTCACTGCCCTTCCCTTTCACAGCCCCCCACCCCCTCGATATAAATTTACCCAGTACTCCACCTCTCCACATTCTATTGCTATAATATTCCCACTCACATTCCCGTTCCCGTTCTCCCCTTCCGACCACTCTTCCACCCTCATATCAACTCATATTGTCTCACAACACGATGAATACATTGTCTCACCATCCATCGCACCTCACATATCAACCCTCAATTCACCTATTTCCCTTCTCCTTCTCCTTCTCCTTCTCCTTCTCCTTCTCCTTCTCCTTCTCCTTCTCCTTCTCCTTCTCCTTCTCCTTCTCCTTCTCCTTCTCCTTCTCCTTCTCCTTCTCCTTCTCCTTCTCCTCCCTGTTCAGTCCTCTCCCTTACCATACCCCACAATCCATGCCTACAACAATATCTCTCATCCCCTCATCCCCTTCTCACGTCTTCTCGCGTCTTCTCTTCCTCGCTTCTTCCCTTTTCCAACTATATTACTCCATGCTTACTTCTCATCCATACTCTCACTCCCCAGCTACTTCAAACTCTATAAACTATAATCCAAAGACCACAACCATTATACCCAAGTGAATCAGTACACACCTCATCCCCTCCCCTCTCTTCCCTCCCCAAATCCATCTATAACACCACCTTAACCCCAATACAATACTTAACACAACATCGACCCCCTTCCCTCCCGCCCCACCTCTATCTCTTCTCATACACATAAACACCTTCTAGTAGGTATCCTGTTAATAACCAGTAGTTAGTTAACTATTGATCTGCTAATACGGAGTCCGGATGTCAAATCATTATATAAATAGTAGATAGATATCATCCACATATATACATATATATATACATATATACATACATACATACATACATACATACATACATACATACATACATATACAACTTAGCCAATCTCCAATCTCCAATCAACATCCTCAACTATTTTACCATCTCTATACTAATCACTACTCATCCATCAAATCCAACCAACCACACCATCCATGACAATATACATAAAACGAAAGTTACTACACACATAAATTTACTTCAGAAAATTCGATTTGGTTCAATTCAATGTAATTTGATTTGTATACAATATATCTATCTAGATATCCATATACAATTCATATATCTGCACCCACCACTCCATCTCTCTTCTCCTCTCCACACATACATACATACAAGCCCGAGACACAGTCTCCGGATCAATCGACCTCCCCGTGCATGTATTCCAGCTCGACAGAGAACCCCACGACTCTCGTGTCTTCTTCTCGTCCAACTTATTATTCCATCACCGTTTCCATTTACCCACACAGCCATTCATATCAGAAGAATTGACTAGTGCGAATTTTGTAATCCTGATGTACCCACGTAATCCCGCGCTGGGAGTGAGTTGTGTCTCCGCTCATCTTATTTCATCTCATCTCATCTCATTGCATCTGATGTACATATCTCCTCATCGAGCAGGCTCCAATGTTTACAACAACGAAAAAATCATCCACAAAAAGACGAATGGCACTCCAATACGCCGATTAAAATGCTTTTTGCATTTATGCCCTGCAAAGACTCAGTACTCCATTTCGTATGATTTCGAAAATGTCAATGCCAATGCCAATGCTGATATGTGCTCGCGTGATGTTGTTGACTATGCTGTATGTTTAAACTGTATGTTCAAAGGTTGTGTGGGTATCATTTTCCTCATCTGCATTTCCATCTGCATTTCCTTTCTCTTTCCATCTTTATTCTTCCCCCCTTCTTTTTTTCATAGACCTTTCTTCCTCCCAATCTCACGATTCCGAAGAATCAATCATAGAACAGAACGTCCCTCTAGAATCACAAAACGTTTAGAAGATTTCTCAATCCCGCTTTGCGACTACCATCGGATTGGATACTTCGTGGCATGTGTGGATGGCTTTCATCTCGGGTTTCGAGACCACTTTCGTGGATGTTGATTTGGGGTTCGGGAATCCATTCTTTTTGTTCGGGGTTCCATCTGTGGCTTTGGGGATGTTAGTTTTGGACCTTTGAGATATTGCATATGGAATGAGAAAAAAAACTTACCCCTCATGTAATGTCTTCGTCAAAGCTCTCGGACTGTACTCATCTGTAAGTACCCTATCGAAACTATACGGTACGAGAGCCGGCACGCCCTCAAACTCGGTTTCTCTCAATGGATAGATATCTCTCGTCCTGTAACGATGATAATTTTTACAGCTCCAGATTCCCGGCTGTGTACTGGGGTTGACTTCCGCAAGTCCAGTGATATCAATGAACAATCCATTCCTCACATCAATCCATCTCGCATCAATAACATTCATACCATCACCCCTCACTCTCTCCACATGATTTGGATTGATATCCAACAAATATTCTCTCGTAACAGTCGTTCCATCATCTGCTCTCCCCGTGTAATTATGCATCGTCATGTTCATATTCTCTCCCAACCAAGCCAACGTAGCAGCCGAAACCTGCGTATCTAAATCCCAATCCCACGGCATAATTTTGCCATTCCACCACCAACCTAGCAACGTCCCATGCGCAATCCACGTCTCGATATTTCTCTCGCGAAATGTGGTAAGATAGGATTTGATCAGATATTGAAGAGAATCTTGCTTCTCTTCATAGGTGACTGGGTTTCCTTGGAAGTACCGTATGTCGTAATGTCCTAATATATCGTTTCCACCTGGCTCGTGGAAGTACTTTGTGTCGCGGTGTTCCGTCTTGACTTTAGGTGGGAAAGCTGGTTCTCTCTCTTCGACCACTGCCGATGGCTCTTCGTTTGGTCGTGGTGAAGCATGTGCAAATGAGTTAAGGAGGAAAGATGTTGTGGCGATGGCGCCCAGAAAAGTTGGAGGGCGCATTATGGTATTTATGAGTGAATGTTTGGTGTTTGGTTGTGTCTTTTCCTTCTCCCTTCAATTCTTCATCAAACTCGTGAATATGAAAACAAAAAAAAAATGTAAACAAGCTTTCGAGAAAACAAACGCGCGCTTTTCAATTAACCCAATTCCCCAATTTATTCAAGCCAAAAAGTTTCAAATAGCTGAAGCAAATATACCTTGCTGGATACAAGCGGGAAAGTGGTTGATATAAGAAGCCAGGAGTGTGCTCGTGTGCCTCACTTCCGAGAGCGAATAATGCCAAGAGAAGATCCAAGCAGCCAAGAGACAACTCGAATGAAATCCAATACGAGGTGAGTACAAAGTAAACCTCTTGGGAGGTGTAGTGCTGTGGGAATTGATAGGAGCGTGGTATTATGTTATATCAAACTTGTATGCATGCAGCGATGCAAGATGATGAAATGGTTGCGGCGCAAGTACTCGTTCGGTCGTTGGAAGTTGGGAATACCAATTTTCAATTGGAGTGGTGTAAGAGAGAGAGGAAGCGATAGAAGGCTAGAGCGAGCAGGACGAGAACAAATCAAGAAACCAAATAGAAACAAAAAAGTTGGAGTGGGGAAGAGAGGAGTTTTGTGGACATTTCAATCTGATTGTAATCTAGAAAAGGAAAGGAGTGGTAACTGATCTATTAAACCACGATTTTCCAGACTTTATCCCATTTCGTTCCTCTGTTTGATAGCGAAAACAGTTGTTATAAACCCCGGTTATGGATTGATTGATTAGGTAGAGATGGGCTGGGATGAAATCAATGTCATGTAGCCGCGGTAGCGTTGGAGAATTCATTGGATTTTGTTAGTACGCGGCAAGTGATTGAAGTGAAGCAAGTGAAGCAAGTGCAATGAGGATATTTCAGATGGATTACATAGACAAGCTTTTTCAAGTAATACTCAAGCTGTTTGATAACAAGGGGGGCTTTTCTTAAATAGATGGATATCTTTTCAATGCGAATTGAATGATGAGATCTGATGCCATTCTGATTCATTCATGGTGATTGTTTCTACGAAATGTTACCTAGATCAATAGATGTTCCCGAATCCTCATCCAAATATTCATATTCATACCTAGCTGCCTACTATGTCAAGTATCGTTTGTCTTGATAGAGATGAGTATATAAAACTCGAAGCCTTGTAAAGCCTTCTTTGGACAAGGTTCAGCCCGAGTAACCGATAAGTTGTTCGACGACCAGGCCAATGCCATGTTTTCTGGTCAGCCCAGGGCTTGACTACTTGCCGGCGCTAATACCATACATACATATACGTGTTAATCCTTCTTCGCTTTAGCTTTTAGCCAATTTAGATCATAAGCTATAACATATAAAGCCATCTCTCATCTCTCATCTCTCATCTCCCAGCTAACAGTCCTTTCTCTCTCTATATTGCTCTCTCTCATCTTCATAGACAGCATTCTCCAAACACAAAACTTTCATCATGCGATGGCTGAGTTCACCAAAGTTCGTCACCTATTCAGGGGGGGTCACGGAAACACAGACCCATCCATCAATTGCCTAGATAGCCTACATAGATAGCCTAGATAAAAAGAGATGTACCTCGCTAAGAAGGGAAAGGAACATGGGATCAACAAATCATAAATAATATTTCGTACGCGTCATCTCGAGACCAATGGGGATATTATTAAGGACGTTCCACGACAGTTGACAGTTGGATTGGATAGTTGAACGCTTCCTTGTGTATTTTGGCGGCAAAATTGTACTACGGCAAAAGTTAGGATGCAAATTGATTTCGAGTACGACTTGTTGAAACGTTAGAGGCCGCGACGTGAAAAGTCTATTTGCTTTTTATAGATAAACAATTTTGGTGTTTAAAGTAGATTCGTGAATGTGAGATCTCACATAGAAAGGGGAAAACTAAAGCCGATGTTCAAAGGAACAGCTAAGTCAATGAAATATTTTCGTCCCATCAAAATGGTACACCTGTACAACATATTCCAATCTGAATCCATAATTAAGCCTCACGAGTCAAGATTCAAGACTCGACAGTGCACCTCAAAGCCACCACTAAATATGCCAAGCATCGACCACCAGTTTAACGTTAAAAGTCTAATAATTTCTTCAATATAAAAACAACACTGTAAATTGGTAGTCGTATACGTACTCAGTCGTGTGCTCAATCGTGTGCTCAATCGTGTGCTCAATCGTGTGCTCAATTACTCTGTCTAGTCGGCCCTGTTGTCAGATTTTAATAATTTTCATGATTTGGGGTAATAGATCAGCAGCCTTTCAAGGGTTGTCGTTTGGGGCTGATTGATCATCTTGATTGATTGATGTGCTGTAGAATGATAATTAAAGCTGTCGATCTAAATGCATGTATGTAAGTGATTGCCAAACTGGCAATTTGGAAATTGCGAAGGTTGGAAATTCACGAGCATGATATTGGAGGGGAGACTAATTAGCATCTCTACCTAGGTACTTGCTCCATCAATATCTACAAAGCATCTGTATCCTTCCACATCTAATCGTAGTAGTGTACCTAGTCATCGCCCTAGAAACAACACCTACTCTAAGTACACGGCACAAACCCCCGAGACCCCATCTTTCCCGCCTTCAAAATTCCCGTCATCTCCATCTATATGGGTAACTTGGAGTCATACCAACCAAGAAAGTCTTGTCTTCCGTTATCCGTTACATAGCCAACTAAGTAGCTTATCATCCAAAATGATAAGCTCACGGAAGGATCCTTCCATCCAGCTTCCGGAGCCCAAGACTTCAAGCTGACCACGAACTAGGTACTCCATACTCGGTATCCATTCATCAAAATCACCATCTCTGGTCTACTTGGTATTGGTATGTAGTGAAGTCGCGGTAACACTGCCTGCTGTACGTAGTACATAGGTTACGTACTCTATGCAGAAATATCACAAGGCGTCGGACTAATAAACCATCTACACAAGATAGTTCGTGGCTTCAAAACAAGCCGAGTTGGACGAAAGAAATTCGCCGGTCTATATTACTTATGCAGGTATGTAGGTATGTACATTGTAACATGTACGTTATGTAGACAGCATGATATAATATTCGGAGACACAGACAAACCGTATTGTATCGTAGCCTTATACCCAATTGAGAATGCTTCGCGATGATCTTTGCAAGGTTGTTACGTAATCTAAAATCTTTCATATTTCTTCAAACCCCAAAAATAAAAATACACTACACTACACTACAATAGATGAAAAAGGCGCTTGGAAAGTTCATCGCAATTCTTTATGATGTATGAGTTAATTCTATAACAGAATCAATTGAACCAGGATCTTGATACAGATAAGTCGGATCGGATCGAATTTGAAACGTATGCGGTTCTGCACAGGATGAGCTATGAAGACTGTGGCAGGCTCAAGAATGATTGGGGGTTGATCAAGAACGAGTGAACAGCAGAACAGCCCTCAAGTCTAAAATGTAAGCTCGTTTTGCGAAGAGGCTGAAAACTGCCGAGATTCAAGGGAATGAGGTCTATATAAATTCCAAATATCCTTTCCACTAAGAACGTGATCTTCGTTCGCAGTATTTGTGTTATCTGTAGAAGACACAAAACCTGTTGCCAAGTTATGAGTACCTCGTTGTGAACGGTGGTAAGGGGCTCCAGGAGGTGCCTTCCGTCTAAACTTGCTAACTTTGATCGCCGGCCAACTCGTCTATGCCGTCAATGAAGATGCATATCTTAAGAAATTGTGAGGCTTTCTCCACAAACATTTCATCTCTTCGAAGGTCGGCACATCGTTCACATAAGATTCCTTCCGGTTGCTGTAGATATCTGGAAGTGTTGATGGAATGAGCTCAGGGTACTTGGATAGTGCTTCGTGAAGAATGGACCGGAGCATTCCAGTCCGGCGCTTCTGTAATGGTGTGCCCAAATTCCAATAGAAGAAATGAAGCACAATGAGCTGATTTTGCGGCGCCCAGAAAGCCAGCTTGTTATATGTTTGCTCATTGTCGACAATGAACCTGAGAAGGGTTGATTTTCCGCTTCCAGCCTTTCCATTGATGAAGTAGGGTGCATCGATACCCTCTCCGCTTAAATAATTTCCAAAGTCATCCCATGCATCTGCTAGACCTGGTAGTCTGAACATCCATTGAAATGTCTCTCGATAAGCGACGCATATCTCTTCGTATCTCCAAGCCATTTGTCGAAACTTCAACCAGTTCAGAATGGTCTGGTTTTGCGGCGTGGATCGATGCAGTGAGCTGATGTCACCCAGGCAACTCTGTAGTTTTCGTTGTATTACCAGATTTGAGGCAGAATGTGACTGCATAGCCATCAGTATATCTTTGATCTGCTCGTTTTGTCTAATGCTTTCGGCGCTATTCCTGTCGCTTGACTTCTGCAGTTCCTTCATATGGAATGATATTCTCGTTGCGATCGTCGACATTGGATTGAAAAGCGAGTATTGCTGCAAGTGTCAAGGCACCCCGAAAGCTCTCAAGCTTCTCGACGAAGGCAACAATTGCCTCGTGTCGCCATCGAATTCTGATACTGTCTTTCAGATTGTGTAGGAAGTTTCTTGCCGTTCGAGAAGTCGAAAATGTGGACAAACAAACTGCAAACTCATGTCCGGCTCGTTCGCAGTCCGCTGCCAAGTCAACAAGGTGCTAAAATTCCAGGGTTAGCGAACGTTCAAAATTCTCTTGGAGCCCGAACCTGATTCTCCTCGCTGAGAGGTCTTGTGTAGCTGCTAGCTTGAAGACGGGATCTGATGATCCTCGCGTGCTTCGTGGAGCTTAAGGTGAAGCGCTGGAGATCAGCAATGGATGATGATTCTCCGTTCTTCTCGATTGCACGAGCTTCGGATATTATCTTGCTAGAAAAATCTACAAATTTCATAATATTGCCCGCAATGTTAAGAGCAGCAAGTGCCTCCATCCTCTCCAGCGATGGTGCTTGGCTGTGAATCTTTCGGATCCTCGATGTTGAGTGTTTTGTAGAATGATCTAAAGAGCCAGTTCTCCAATTGCTAGTCAAATTGAAGTAGTAGGCGTCTTTGCGTATGAGAAGCACGAGTGATAAGTGGGAAAGGCAATTGAGCTTAACGAGGCTATGTCAGAACAAGAGGCAATTGCGGAGTGGGAGGGATATCATGTGCCCAAATATAGACAGAAGGCTATAGTGGAATTCTCTCACGTATTACAGTGCGTGGCGCTTTTTGTACCACCCACCTTGTCCTACTAGAATCTCGATACTTGTGGAAGAGGTGACGGGAATCAATAGCCTACGATCCTATGTATCTGCAAATTAAAGATCTGAGCCTGGGAATAAATGAAGTCGTTTCGACTTGCAGGTCTCTTGGTCACCCAAGGGTAGACGCCACATGCACTGTCAGTTGGTATTTTGGGAAGTTAAAAGCATCCAGCCTTCTGTCTCTCTAATTTATCCAGAACTAGGCCTGTTCTATGCCCTTTCATGAGTTTGGTGTCCGCTTTCCTTTACATCACATCCCTTCAGGTGTAACTAAGCCTCATACCGTTTCCCATAAAGTTGATAGCCCCGGCAGTCCTCAATCCCCTCCTCTAACCACCAATGTCATTCTTTCCGTTCCACTCATCCATAAAGTTCATTCATCTTAATCTCCCTCATCGGATCGTTTCCCATACCTGCGAAATTTGGCTCGCGGTTTGATCCATCCACCTTATGCCCCCAGAACATTGGCGAATCTCCTTGCCATTCGTCTACCAAGTCAGCTATTGTTTGAAGGTGTCCGGTTGTTGCTGGTAGTGGGCCAGATGGCCATCGAAGACTGATATAGGGTGCAAAAAGCGCAAGTAAGTCGGGTACCCTACTTTCGGGCCAACCCCCTTTTGGGCCACTTTTTACACCAAAAATGGAATTTTTAACTTTCTTATTTATAAATAGAATTTATTGAAAATTTATATATATATATAATTTAGATCATTTTTAGTTTACCTTGAAAATTTCAGATTTTTAGGAATTTTCTGTATTGAGATCTAGAGCTTCAAAATATCGATTTTTGAATTTATATGGGAATTACATATAAATTTGAAACTTTTATAAAATCTTTAATAACTTTTTAATAAAAATTGTTAAAAATAAATTATTAAATTTATTATAAATTTATAATATATTTATTTTAAAGGATTTAGAAAAAAGGAGAATTTCCTATAAATAGGTATTTAAAAGAATATTCTTAAAATTACAGGGATTATTTATACTACTCTAAACTCACTATATATTGTATCTCTATATTTATTAATTTTTTAATTTTTTTTTAATTTTCTATATAGATTTAAGTTCAAAACTTTCAAAAAGATATACAGTTTTTTTTAATGATTGTTATTAAAAAGTTATTAAAGATTTTATAAAAGTTTCAAATTTATATGTAATTCCTATACAAATTAAAAAATCGATATTTTAAAGCTCTAGATTTTAATATAGAGAATTCTTAAAAATTTCAAAATTTCAGAATAAATTTAAAATAGCTTAAATTATATATATTCAAATTTTTATTAAATTAAATTATATATTGATAAAGATATTAATAGACTAAAAAAGCAATTTTTAGTGTAAAAAGATGACCTAAAACAAAAGTGGCTCGAAAGTAGGGTGGTCGACTTAGCAAGGCATAAACGGTGTAATAGAATATTTGGATGGTAAACATCATTAGTGCAGATGATGAGTTACTGGTGACACTCAACCCGAACAACCAATAAATGAAGGCCTTGAAAACAAACAATAACATTGTTTCCCAACTCTTCAATGCCGCTGATATGCTGTTGTAGCGCGGGTTACTGCCTCTTGAAGATGTTGCTTGACGGAAAATTTTCTCGTCGCGAGATAGACTACAGAGAAGTTCTGCGCAGTGAAGTCCGATAGTAAGTGGAGCTTGGAGAGCTGATACCATTAAGATGGTCGCAAGACGCACTTGGTAAGTAGTGCCATTGGTCCACATAGCAAATATTCCGCAGAGAGAATCGGCTCCAGAAGGTAGTAGATTCCAGGAGCATTGTGCTAAAGTGTTGGGGTAACCTAAATGAAGCACAACCCCGAACCAGCATAACCCGAGTGGTACAACTGCCCACATCAATCCCAATGCCCATTTCACGTCATTGTGAACAGTTAATAAAGATCCTTGTTGTTTTCTCGGGAAACAAGGGTCCGAGGTGGTGCTGCGGTCATGGACAGATTTCATACACCTTCTTTGACTTCTAGCCAATGGGTATATGGCAGATACTTCGAGGCAGGTAAAAGTCGCATCGAGTGGGCTGGAACTACAGGTCGGTATTTTGGTTATGATGAACGACCAGGTCGCAAGCCCTGCTTGGACAAGAATACTTGCTCCAAGTATTATAGTAGAAAGGATCCGCATCATGTTACCTTCGCCGATGCCGTTCAAACTGAAAGGTATGGATGTGTATGACAGAATGACACAAAGTAGGAAGGCAGCATTGGAGTACCACTAAGCAATGTTTAACACCACACCAAACTTTGGCATACGTCTGTAGTGAGGTAATAGATACAGAATTGAGATGTGATCACCACCACAGAAAGGTTGCCCGAAAACTTACTGCGTTAGACTCGGAAGTCTTCGAGTTCGAGAATAGGCGGAGGTTAGAGTTGAACCCCGAGTCGCCCCTCCCGTAGCAATGACCACCTGGGCGATGTGCTATGGACATAGCCCATGCTCTCGTTGAGAAGCGTTACTATCATATTGATAGTCAGGGAAACAGCCTCGTCGATGGTTTTGCTGACTGAGTCCAATACGTTGATATAATCGATGCCATTCCAGATATATCCACGACAAACATGAAGACTTATACCAAACGCGAAAATCGCAGAGCCAAATATCCAACTGATTATCAGGCCAACAAGGCAAATCCGGCGTGTTTTATTCGCCCGCAAGCGATCACCCAACTGCTCGTGGCGAGCCTGCACTATCGTGACAAGTAGTGCCATGGAAGAACGCTCAAATTATTCTCTCGAAAGTTCTTCAACAAGTTTAAGGATGTGTGATGAGAGTAGAGAAGAAAGGCAAGAAAGAAGATCATAGTGGAAAGACAACTTCAACGACTATATCCACACTTGTGCACTTGTGGTACCAGACCACCCGACTTCGGATACTCGTAAACATCACACCGAAAGATACGAATAACCTATTGGCCATAGATTTCACGCCTGGATAGTTTGCCCTCATTTGGTACTGAACTGCAAGTTTCCGCATTGGTGTAGCATTTTGCCATGGATCAGCCTTACCTTGCTTCATGGAATATTATTCTTGCTCGTACAGCAATGGTGTAACAATAGCCTACAACGAGTTAAAAGATCAAGTACGCCCATTTCTCCCTCTTCCGCATATTCAAAGCAAAATCCGTCAAGCAACATAGTGCGATGTACAATAATGATAGCTTCGAAAAGGGTTTGTGGCCTGGGATATATTATGCATCTCCTAGTTCACACTCATCGATTAGCGTAAGAGAATTTTACTTTGTAGTTCTCTGTAGTTACATAAGAGAATGAGCTAAGTTGCCTATTCACATTGGTAACTTTACTCCCCACACTTGATCTCTGTGGAGAAAAAGCAAAATTGCCGTCGACAGCTAGTTGGATATAGATAGTAGACCCCTATAATCACCACAGTCTCTCTAAGCGCGAATTAAGTGTTCAATAGTCATTATTCAACGATGCTCTTAACAGCCCCTTTTCGCCTATGCCTGCCAATCTTCAACCTAGCATACTGCTTCGCCACTGTTAGTTTCATCTCCAAGGAGTCCTGGGGAAATGCAATCATACTAATCTTTCGACACGCTAAAGTGACACAAGGCTCCGACAAACGCCAAATATATTCTACGAGTTTATCTTCCTCAAAAATACGGACATATGGTCCTTAGAACTGCTTTAATCATGATCCATAACAGGTATGGTGATAACCCTGATTTTTTATCTTTCCCTTTCCCTTCCCCTTCCCCAAAAATAATACCACAGAAAAGATCGTAGTATTCAAAGGTAATTTCATTCACATACCACGCCCAGCGCATAGGATGTAGACACCAAAATGGACATTAGACCAGGGTTTCCAACAGTTCCGGATAGCAGACTGCCGATAGCTATGTTTTAATTGTTGAGTTCATTCCAAAGGTTGCAAATATTCAACACAACGAGTCTGCCCTACAGTATCAATTCATTTGGTGATCTCAGGAACACGGGCTAAGATCGTCAGTTCCTGCAACTCTGTAACAGGTCACGCCGGTACGTAGCTCGTATTCTCCTAGCAATTTCTCGAATCTCCTTTTGAACGTGGCAGTCGTGAGATTTTTCCATCTGAGTTTCGGCAATCTCCACCATAAGCCTTTTGCGCGGTCTTCTGATTGAAGATCGTAAAGAAGATTCTTATCGAAGTCTAATTTACCTCGTAATGGATGCTCAGGGATCAATACGCCACAAAGATCACTACGTTTAGTAACAGGCGAACGCAACATGCGCAGAGCTTCACCGATGTCCACTGGGTCGAAGAATACCAGCTCACTGTCTCTCTGACCCTCGGCTATGCCATTCTCGTGATCATCACTTCGATAGTTTTCAATCACAATCGTTAAACTTTTAATATTGTAGAACGTACACGATAGCCTAGCAAGTGTGGAAGTGTTGGCTATCTTGTCGTTTTGATGGAATGCGGACCCTTTTGATATGGGTTCATATTGAAAAGCAACATGATCAATTTTACATGCCTCGAATGACGCCATAGGTTCACGACATTGCCAACCGCACACACATACTACTTGTTCCCCAAGAAGTAATAAAACGTCTCTTTTGTGATCGAAGTAGGTCTCAGCAAAAGCTCCAACAGACGGAAACGCTCGGTTGTATCTTGCGAAGGCGATATTGTATGATTCCCTGCAAACCAACAACAAGTTTGGAATTTGTGCATCTGACGAGAAACCATATTGACCATCATGCTTGATGCGTGCCCGGACTTCTTCCAAATCTTTGACATCCTGCGGTAGTATGTCATCCATACCGGTGCAAAGAATTTTGGATGAATCAGGGCGAGCACCGTCTTTGCATCTATCCGGCACAGCCAAATCTGAGCGTACTCTAACCATGGCGTGCTCACAACGAGAAATAGCATACTTTTTTAAGAATATAATTCTCGGATCTGGAAGCGCGAACCTCCATATCGAATGTCGAAGGTGCTTCGGAAGCCGTGAAAAGGACGAAAGTGAGTAGTCGACATCGATACTATGCACCATACTGTAGTAATTCTTCGGTTTCCGCTTGTGTGCTGGATGTTTGAATTTAAATTCTGATACTGGAGAACGTTGGGTAACCATCTTGATTGTGTATTGCTTCGCCCGATTTAAGTTGATAACAAAGAATGCAATGATTTTCTATGTTGGTATTCTCGTGCAACACGGGTCGAAAGGAGCATCGCATACAACAATGCTACATACACTAACCCCCTGTCGGCAGCCACCTTCCTTCCGAGGTCTTATTCACACCTAATGTTCTTACCTTTCAAAACTCATTTATTAGCGCCATAATTTTAAGGAAAATGAATTTGTCCATCCCAGTCCTTCTCAATGCACTGATTTGGACCTTGCAATCGTATTATACTTCACAGTTTTGGGCTTAGATACAAAGATTTCCATTTTGAAGTGCCATTTGTTGCGCTCAGAGTATGCCATGAGCGATCAACGATTTGGAAGATATAATAAACGAGAAATGTCGATATCATAGGATCTCAGTGGAACTATTTATGTATGTATTCATCTATCTGTATACTACTCAAAAAGGCTTTCGATTTCTTTTCAAATTATTTCTTTTAGTACATGATAAGATAGCATGGGCGCCTCTGCAGTGTAACCAGCCTGCCGGGGCTGGAAATGGCGTTTCATCACAAGATTGTAACCTCAGCTTGACCTCACCTCAACCAGAATCTCCGTGTAAACGAGCTTCATCCTCCTATGCCAGCGATTTATCTTGAGTCATCTCCTATACTCTATTTTCACTCACTACTAATCATCATTCACGATGGAAATGGCGGAGACCTTCACAACGATGATGGCAGCAATTGCATGCCAAGTTCTTCTTTCTCCCGTTCCCGAACCATCCACCATAAATGTTATCTCCATCTATTTCTCATCGAATTGTGTTCTTTTCTTATACCTTACTTTTACAAGCACTGGACTCTTTCAAGTCATCATTCATCTAGTTACTTTGAACACAGCCTTCCTCCTTACTACGATTATTCTTACTACAATTCGTCGACTATACTTCTCTCCATTATCTCACATTCCCGGACCAGCACGTTTCGCTCTCACGAAATTATTTATTGCTAATGAATATCGACTCGGTCAAACATCTCTTACTATTGAGGCTCTTCATAAACAGTACAAAAGTGATATTGTTAGAATAGGTCCCAACGAGGTTTCCATCATCAATGCAGATGCGGTAGCCAAGGTATTTTCGGGGAAATACCCGAGAGGTACATTTTATGAAATTGGAGCTATCAATGGAGAGGTCAATGTAAATACAACCAGAGATTATGGGAAACACACTCCCGTAAGTGGTTTTAATACCCTTAAATTTCACACATCATGTGAACAAGCGATACTTCATGCTGACAAACTTTGACAGTGGAGAAGAATCTGGTAAGACTTTGATCTTGTATAGAGTTTGGTTCTGACTTTGTGCAGGGAGAAAGGCTTCGTAAGCAGTGCCATCAAGGAGTATAACACGAGGGTGGAAATCCATGTGGAAAAAATGATACAAATATTGTTCGAAGCAGACGGGAAAGAGGTGAATGTTTCCAAGGCAATGGACGACCTTACTTTCGATATGTATATCAACCCCTGATACTGTCAAATTATACCTCACAGAGTCTAAGTATTCCAAGCATGGCAGATTTGAGTTTCTCGAAACATGCTGGCCTACAAGATGGTACAGGCGACAACTCATATATGTCATATGTTCATAAGTATATGTCGTTCGGTGTCGTGGGTATCCACAACCTATGATTATTACCTCTAACTGACATAACAACAGATTATCGCATCCCTACGGAATATAGCACAGCTCCTTGTCTACATGCCCGAAACGACCGATATTCGAACGTTTCGCGAGAAAGGCGAAGCGATGCTTATGGAACGACAAGAACATGGTTCAAACTACCGAGACATCTTTTCCTACTTACTATCCGCAGATCCAGATGGCGGTGAGAAGTTTACTCAAAAAGAGTTGAATTCTAACGCCAATTTAATCATTATCGCTGGATCAGACACTACATCTTCAACTTTAACACAGGCGTTGAGAGCGCTTGCCAAGGAGCCAGGAATACTTTCTAAACTTCAAAGAGAAATTGATGAACTATGCTCAGTCATGAGCAAAGACAAAGAAATAACTATCGATTCTATCAGGAATCTAGAATATCTTAACGCGGTTGTTGACGAAGTTCTACGATTATATAATCCCATTCCATCTGGCCCCCATGCAACGACTTATCCACAAGGCATCGAGGTTGGAGGCATACATATCCCAGGAAATGTACAAGTTGAGATGTCGCATTTAGTGCTTATGACAGATGAGCGATATTTTCCACAAGGGAAAAGTTTTATTCCCGAACGATGGACAAATGAAAGACCTGAGTTGATGAGAGATAGGAGGGCGTATATACCATTTGGTTATGGTGTTCATTCGGTAAGTTCAGGTCTTTATGATACGGCGAATCCTCAGCTTGAGCATTTCATTTATACACTTCCCTCATACAAATTCTTAGCGGTGGGCATGAAACAAAACTTACAAATGTAAAGTGTGTAGGCAAAACCCTGGCGCTCCACGAACTGCGCCTGGTCATTGCGCGTATAGTCCGCACATTTGATATCCAATTTGGTCACTCGCATGATGATGTACTATTTGAAAGCGAATGGAAGGATTATATGGCTGTTGAGATTGGAGATTTATGGGTACGATTCCTGCCGCGAAGGCTTGAAGATATTGCAGCGTGAAATCTGGATACCAGTATTGGTTTTCGTCTATCCATCTTGGTCCAGAAAATGGACCAGTTCAATCGAAGTTGACATAAACCTCTTGGTAATTCACTACCGACGGTGTTTCTTCTACCTGCAAATATCATATCACCACAAGAAATTCAATATTCTATAAGTGAATATCCCAACCCCCCGCTCCATTTACGCTCACCTTTATAATCCCCGAACTATCTCCTTACAACATCCAATGAAGCAGACACCTCCGTGGTGCAATGGTAATAAAACTGACCATGGCCACAAGAAAACTTTCACGTAACATTCGAAACGTTTTCTCAAAGGTGTCGGGCGAGGGAGACCTGAAGTCCAGTTCAAGCGAATCCTTAAGATGCTTGGCGAGTGATGGATCGGAAGACGCGCATTCGCATTCAGTATACAGTCAATCCTGTATATACCTGATGGGTACGGTAATGAGTGAGTCTGTGTATCTTTTGTAGTTGGGGATGGGGAGTTGGATTTTTTTTTGTGGGGTTCGGATGAGAGGGTGGTGGGAAAGAGGGGTTTGGTGAATGATTGGTTGGAAATGGTGATATTAGATGATATTTTTTGGCAAATTATCTGAAAATATGCGATGCTTAACTACTCGCTATAAATCAGCCTCCTTTCTGCTAGCGCCTTGCTCGAGATTTTGTAGGATTAGTACGACGCACAAAGTACCAATAACCCTTGCGACAGATAACAACTAGTCTCAGTATTTTCTTTCGCGATGGAGTTACTAAGTTACATCTATCCAAAATTCCATTGCGAATGAATTAACCCTATTGATTTTCATCTTCTCAGCTACCATAGATATATGTACTCTAGTAATTCAATTCTACCAACTCCCCGCTACTCCTACTACCTTACATGAGAACATTCATCACACCTAACAACTTTAGCAATCCAAGAGTGGTTTTGCACAATAATCTTCAGCGACTACATACTCGCTAAATACCGATGTTCTTCTGCACACTTCACTCCTCCTGTTACTTTCCAGAGAAGATTCACATGAAAGTTGCCACATAAATACTATTTAGCTACTAATAGGTTATTCATCAAAGCTGGAAGATGCAATAGACATTTTTTCATTCGTAGGCATCAAATCATTCATCGCGTATTATCAAGGGGTATTGAAGTACCGATGCAGGATAATGGAGTAGGTATATAAGATTCCATATCCAACTGCAGCTAGCTAGTTTTCATGTGTTCACCTCTGCGAAACAATATGAGTGGATGAGCTACTATTCCAAGACTTCTCGTCATGCATATGTATATATATATACACACACATAAATCAAGTATACATCTCCATTACTCTACTCGCTGTTTTCTCATTAAATATCTACATTGGTGGTACCGATAACTGAAGAGGCACTAGCCGAGCATCACGCATGAATGTTCTGAAGTAATAACTAAAAGTCCTGAAATCAAATACCAATCGCATACGCCTCGATGCAGAAACAGAGGGTCGCGGTTATCCTCAAAGGGTACGCTTTCGGGAAATCAGAATATCGTCCTAGACTTATCCCGTCGGTATATTCTGTTACTACATATATCCATAAAGGTGAGTACTGTGGGGAGGATAACGGTATATATATATATCGTATACTACCTATTATGATATAACTTCAGAGATAGAGATGTAGCAAGTAGAAAGTAAGTATTAGAGTGCAGAGAAAGAGGATTACTGGATAATTGGCGAAGAGAAGATATGAAAACATTTTGTATCCCAACGTTATCGTAAGCGTGGCAGCGTAAATCGCGATCAGGAGGGAAAGAAATGAAGAGTAAGAAGAAATATATCTCCATCCGAATTGCAGAGAAAAAGAAATGTATATCATTTACTCCCCCTCCCCCCAAAATGTCACATCTTCACATCTTCACATCTTCACATCCTCAAGAGGATAAAAACCACTCGGTCGGTTACTTCCATCACTCATCCTCACATCTGTATTCATACAATTAATCCATCCTCGCCTCATCCATCTGTACATCTATCTATATTTCCAAGATCAAAATTATCAACATCATCAAGATCATCAGGAAGAATAACAACATCAACCCCAACACCAAAAAGCCATCCGCTCATTCCATTCCATCCCATCCCCCGCATGGGGTGTTCACCTCATTCAAAACCTCGTATCCTTATCCATCCCAACCTCTCATCACAAACTCTATTTCCCTACCTACCCAACCACCAACCACCCAAACCTAGCCATCATCTCAAATCCTCCATCAAAATCAAAATCAAAGAATTTCTAAAGTTTCCTCACGCGCACTGCAGAAATCAAGGCAGTGCGCAGTGGATGCCAGTGTTAACCTTAATCTTAGTGCGGCTGTGTTGTTTACCTATCCATATGTATGTATCCATGGATCCATGGATGTCTTATTAGATGAAATGAAACAATGTGGCGTGGTTTGCTTGTTTGTGGCTGGGTTAGGATGGGTTAGAAAAGTTATGGGGCGGTGGGTTATGTAAGCGAGGTGCTGTGAGGTGTCAGGTGTGAGGTGGTGATGGGTAATAGGGGTGAGAGAAGAAAAGAAATGGGAAAAGTTAAAGTTTGAGTGGAGATTTGGGTTCGTGGATTAAATAAAGGTGTGGCTGTGAAAGTCGAGGGTGAAGAATGTTTAACTCTTTTTGAAACTCGAGAGATTTTGGCGATTTTGTTATTCGTGAATGGAATTCATACAAGCTTAAGTATCACTGGAAAATGCAATTCTCATGTGGATATCTATGTGGATGAAGATATAGTATTGATAATAATCCACCAGTTCATCAACCGTCTCCCTATCACCAGTCGACATTGACTCAATTCCTCGCAGATCATTCAAACTAATCTCTCCTCAAAAATCCATCGTCCTTGAGAATATCGTCACACAGCCACCCATCACTCCTCCTAACTCCCTCGCTCAAACAAATGCTATTCATACAAGATATATCCCAAAATCCCATGTATTAAAACGCCGCATCGTCGTGTATAAATGCTATTTCCCCAAAATCCGTGCCATGCCGTCCCGTACGAGTATTCTCGTATACGTTATGTATGAAAAATTACCGACACCAGAGGAAAACCGTTTCGGACGTCGTGAAATGTTGTATGCACCAGACTCATCTCAGAGACATTGTTCTTCCAGCAAAACAATGTCGTGAAATATCTTCTCCCGCCATGCATGTGTGAATGAATTTCTGGAAATAGAGATCTTTTTATCGCGAACCAGAACTTGAACTGCTACTGCTGCTATCCATGGAAGTGGTGGCATCGTGACCGGTTCTCAATGTGGCGTGTGTGTTTGACCCCATAGAATTGGCACTTCTTCGGCGTGCGGATTTGTCGGCAGCTTCCATTTGTTTTTTGGTGTGCTCGTGCATAGATCTAGCGTAGTCAAAGAGAGAAAAGGCTTCTGGAGAGCTTTCGTGTTCTTCGTGGGACATGTAGCCGTTGGAAGGATATGAGGCTGTTGAGGAAGACATTTTGGTGGAAATATCGATTTTTGAAGATGGAAGATTTGAATTTGAAGTTCTAGTTGCTTGGAGGTGTTGTAAGGCTTGTGTTTGTTGTTGTTGTTGAGCGTTTGGTTGGTTGTTTTGATTGATTGTGTGTAGATTTGAAGCTGGATGATTGTATGATAGAGAATGAAGTGTCATGAGGTCTCAAGCAAATATATACATTCTGCTTCCCCTCAAATTTAGATTACAGATAGACTACCTGACCTCCTACTACCTGACTAGTAGATTACGGGACTAGTGAACTAGTGAACTGTTAGACCCTGAAATTTGAAAAACAGGAGGACGGAGCTAAAAGTTCATAGTGTAGGATTTTGGGGTGTCGATGAAGAGATCCTTGAATTCAATATGCATCATACTTGCTTATCATCCAATCCAATCCAAGTATCTAGTTAGGTATGGTAGTGAGCCCGAGGTCAAGGCTCCCAGACGGTTAAGAAAAAAATGGTCAACTTCCAAATGAGGCAAGACCCTGCAGATCGTGACATGAGACAAGCGTCATGCGTGGACGGGAAGCGTTGGCCAGTTCTCAACCTATGAGGTTATTGAAACGAGGTTGATAAAGAATACACAATTGTTACCAAAGTGGCTAGCACGTACTTTAGAAAACTACCTCATGTACGAACTCACTAGCCAGATAATCTAATCGAAAGATCTACTAGACTGCAATTACTCGAGTAGTACAAACTAATGAGGAATTCTACCTATACTGGATAGACTTTCACCGAGTCGTGAGGAACTGGGTAGTTCCCAACTCCCCATTTTCCAAAATCCCATTCACGAGAACCTAAAATTGATGTTCCCAATATTGTTGCTAACATGGAATCCATGACAATGCAGCAAGCTTTCGAAAAACTTTAACCATTTAAGCAATAATACAGATCACAAAACAAATAACTCAAATTTCACAATCGAAACAATATCGATATCAACTTCCTCGGGAGAATTCCACCAATTACAATCACATCCACGTTCTTTGATCGTAATTGGTTGTGTCACTCATCCCAAGGGAGAGGAATAGGAGAATAGGGCATGTGCAAAAGAGATCATCAAATTATTCTACCCCAGACTTGTGAGATGTTGATCAGAGATGTAGATGTCATAGTGAAAATCCCTACCAAGCTGATTGCTCCGATGATCTGTCCATACATAACCTTACATACAAGCAAAGCAGCCAAATCCGAAAGCCAGACCATCGAGATGAGAGAGTCCAGAATCAAGACGCATACTTCAAAGCATGCCTATCTAGGCTAGAAGGAATTAGAGTACGCAAAGACGCATCGTTATTGAGAAATTATGGAGAGAAATTAGACTCAAAGACATCTACAGACTCCAGAGGAGATACTTAGAGTGAGTCTGCAAATACCTAGACTCCCAGGTAGACAGATAGATGTCATTGTCTCGGTCCCATTCCATTCTCTAGGTGAAACCGATGTCATGCTCACAGTTCAATTCAAGGGTCACACTCTGACTCCTATTCCTCCCAAGTACCGGAAAGTGGGAAAAAACCACAACACCGGATGGATTCATCATTCTCGTCAACTTCACCAATCAAATCGTGACATTCTTATGATTAATGGAGAGTCATGGATAATTGCGTCGAATTGAGTTGTAATATTGGTTGCTGATGTCATCAAATTCCATGCAGGTTATGTTGGTTTGTGCGGCCGCCCCCGCCGATCATTATATCATTTTCATCATCATCGTCATCATCATCATCAATATCCATCAATCAAGCACTGTCTGCAACTTGCAACTGGCCGACTGACCTCGAGTCTGTTCGGCGTTCAACCACTAGGCCTCTATTTCGGTACACTTTTGTCATTTCGCCAAGAAGGGGACGACTAGGTTATTCATAATCATCAAGTTATTCATTTGATTCGGGGGAAAAGACAGAGGAACAGTATAGGCGGGTCAAGGACATTGGTAACCAAATGATTCACGACCTGCATATCACCCGTTTGATTCATCATTCATTTCGACTCGGCGAGGTTCATTGGACCGAATATCGGTACGATGGTTTAGAAGATTCGGCTTTGAATAGTGAAAGGGGAATGTTATCCTCCGCTCAATGAATTATCTCAAAGACTCTGAGAACCTCGATTCCCCATTTGATTTCCCCATACTTCTATTGTATCGAAATCCTATGGGATGCATATTATTCGAGGGCCGAGACAATTATGATGGTACTGTAAGGTTACTTTTTGTCCCTCGCTTGCGGCAATGTTCCTTGGAGGTGTGTCTCCGTAATTGCTTTTGGAAAGGCTACTGGGTCATCCATATTCTCCCCACTATTGTATACTGAAGGCTGAAGCTGTTGCTATGGTATCACTGCACTGCATCCCTTCCAAATCTTCGATGTCTTTCTTGACAAGCGGGCCATGCTTGCCATAGCACAAACGTCCCTTTCCCTACGAGGCTACATGTGTGGCACCGTTGAATGATTGATCCACGCCCTCTCCCGGTCTTTTTGATGTTTCCTTTTCAGTAGCCTCTTGCGTCCACTCACGATCATCGGTTGAGATTCCAAATTCATTCGAGAACGTTCATTCAGTTGAAACAATCTACCGGCGCTGGCTCATAACATTCGAACAAAACACTCCTGCATTACACCTCTCGAAAATGACGAGGTAGGGCGACGGAACAGATCCCTTGTTCGATTCCGCTGGGCTTCTGTGGCAAACTATGTCATTGGGGCTTAAATTTCTTGATAGATTTAGCTTTGAGCCGATTCTCCCTGTCTTGCATCCCATTCAAATTATCAATGAGGAATGTTTAGTAGGTATACATGGTGTTTCATGGGTCACATTAGGGTTATCAGATTAAAGTAACCTGACCATTAAACTGCCCACTGCAAATGCAACTCGTGTTGCCACTTTTCAATTACCTCACAGCTCTCATTACCTACAGCAATGCAGGCTGCAGCTCATCATCGCCATTTCATCATCATTACTTCACAAACCTGTGAGCCCATGACATCAAAAGTCACCACATGTCAGACGAAAAAAACAGAACAATGATGGCATGCTTACATGCATCGCCTCTAAACATCTTTCATAGGGGTTGATATGATACAATTCAATGATCTACCTCTAGGATGAATAGGCGCCACATATTCACAGACCAGACTGTGCGTCGAGAGTCGAGACTTAATGTCTTCCGTTCATTAATTTCTCTGCATGTACGTCTTATGGGTAACGGAGTACATAGTCCTAGCCGATATACCTTGTGCAGCAAGAAATCCTTGTGACGTAAGTTGAGAATCTTGGAAATTTCAATCTCGATGTTTTATCATGTGACCCACTTTGCGACGACCAAGTCCACTCACGTTGGATCATTGTTATTTGCATTGTAATATGCTAGGGAAGTATCCGTTGATATGATGCAAATATCATTCCACAAAGAGTTGATATTGCCGTTTAAAGTAATTGGAATATACAATTGCAGCTGCAGCTGCATCTGATGCGAGAAGCTTGGTTGTTCCGTCATTGTGTACTGTTATTATCGCGATGATCATCATCTAGGGATGGGTCACCTACATTGGCATTGACGAGTGTTACTTGCCCCCCTTGATCGTGATGAGAACATCCATCACATTGCTCAGGGCGACTATGATGATTTTGAGCACGTCAAGGCCAGGGTCGTACCTTGTCCCCGAAAAGTTCTCATTGAACTTTGATGCTTTCAATGCTTTTGTATCCAAAGAGGTTCTTGAGTGTCTATTGATTTTATCAGACTTCATGAGCCACCACAGCCACCGATCATACACATTCATTCTGCCTTGCAATTCAACTTACCCTCCATTTTAGGCATCAACTTCAAAGTCTGCGATGTAGAGAATTGGCGGGAGTTGGAGGATTTCCATCTAATCCCACCATCTCTGTTGTGCCTCCATCTTATATTCACTTCATACATCTCAATGCTCGCATCTGGTTATTCCTTGCCATTCTACAAATTCTTACAGTTCTCGTCTAGTGTCATCACAAATGATCGACTCATAGCAGTGTGATATCCTCCAACATCTCTCCACGCTCGAGTCGTTGAGTATCTATCCCCAAATCTTCATACAATACTTTGCGATGAAATTGGCTAATCATCATCCTACTTCTTCATCTGCAGAAACGGCGCAAATGCGAAACTCCATTGTTTGAAGCACACGCACGCACACACATCACTCGACCTATGGCACCGAATTCACCAGCCTACCTACCCACCTATGTTTCTTTATACATCTATCTCCACCATGAGGAATGGACCAATAAATTAAAGCGTCAATATACCAATCCACATCTGCGGGCTTTTTTATACCTATCTAAATATACATACACTGGAGGAGTTGTTTGAAGATATCAGGAGGCATATCAAGGATCCCCTAAATGAAAAAAAACGGACGGGCTTACATCAGAATGCTGTATCTCAGCAAAATCTTATGTAGGTTCGGTATCAGCATGATGGAAACCACTTCCACTCTGTCTTCCGAAGAAAATTTACAAATTACCCCTATTTCTTTCTCTCCTCTCATTCTCTTTCGCGAAAACAATTGAATATGATATATCAGTATATTGAGCATCCATCCATCAAACTTTATTCCTGTTTAATTATTTTACTCACCTCTTCTCTAAAGTATGCGTCTCCGGCATTTCCACATCTATCTTTTTACTTTCTCCCCCCTTTTCCCTTCTTCCTCTTGAATTCTTATCTTCAATCCGTAGAGATCCCACCGCTACCCCTTGAGCGAGAATGCTAGAATATTTATCGAGATGAGAAATCAAGGTTATGTATTATGCAGATAGAATATAATTACACTTAATTGACTCTTCTTTATCTCCCTCTCCTTGTATATTCTCCTTTCTCTACTAGCAAAACCTTTGAATGTCTAGATTTCTTTGTTTTATATAAGCTCCGTACTATAGACTAAGTAAGAATACTATCCATACCACCGCATCTATAACTTCACTATGAGCCTG